TAGTACTAGTACTAGTACTAGTACTAGTACTAGTACTAGTACTAGTAGTAGTAGTAGTAGTAGTAGGAGTAGGAGTAGGAGTAGGAGTAGGAGTAGCAGTAGCAGTAGCAGTAGCAGTAGCAGTAGCAGCAATAGTAGCAGTAGTAGGAGCTGCTGCTGCTGCTGCTCTTACTACTACTCCTACTCTTCCCAGCCGGCGTTCAGGAAGCAGCTTCCATGTTCATTTGACAAAAGAGGTGCCCCCAGGGGACCTGTGCCCAATTTGGGCTCAGTGTTCAGAGATGTCTCCAACCTTCACAGCAAAGGGAGGCTCTCAGGATCATTCAGGCTCCCATTTCCACCATTTTCAGCTGACTTGGAGGACATGCGTCGAAACTCTCCTCCCTCCGCAGGTCCTCCGGGGTGGACCCGCTGCCCTACATCGAAGCTCATGGGGAATCGGTCCATTCCCATGGATTTCTTCATCCGCCGTTATAGTCGGAAATTCCGTCTTACCAACTAACCCTACTCCAAAATCTGTTGCAGCTTTCTCCTTGTTCCTTGGACCGGCTTTCTCGGGCTTGATCTGGATGGAGATCCATCAAGCCCCCCCCACGAGAGGATGATGGGCGTGACGTAGTCGGGACCTTCCTCTGCTGGCTGAGCCTCGTTCGACCCGCACCACGGAGCGTTCACCGACGGAGGACCAGGTCCAAGCCGGTGCTGAGGTCGAAGCAGTGCATCGATTGGCTTGTGAGCCCTGACTCAAGGATGTCCACATCTTAATCTTGGGAGGCCATCGTTACCTAGGTTGGAGGCCATCGCTAAAAGTCTGGCCGAGCTGAGTGAAAGGTCTGGTCGTAGCGTCATTCGAGCGTGTAGTCTAATAGGGAGACACCGAAACACCCGACCAATGAGTTTCTTCTTTCAGGGGTTTTGGGAGGTCTCACTACCTTGAACATGCTTTTATAGATGGTTTACATACAAACCATCTACCTAACCCTTCTTCACCTTTTTCAACTGGGCTGGGCATGGATGTGCAAGCCTGTGCACACGGTGCAAGACCAGAAGACGTTGCATTCGTGAAAAGGTGATGGAAGAACATGAGAAGTGCCTCTCACTTCCTCACACAATGGATGCCACCAAAATCGTCCTGTCTCAACGCGTCATCTCTGCTTAAACGTGTGAGATCACCAGCCTTCCCTCCCTGTGTTCGCCATCGACCTACCCAAACCGACCGGACCTTCGTTGTGTCACCGCACCGAACCAAACCCGACACGTTGAACGGTGTCCGGGCCATGTCGTCCGGTCCGGTCCGGTCCGTGTCCGTGTCCGTGTCCGGGCCTCCTTCTGCGTGGCATTCAGGTGTGTCACTTCAGCTCCTCCGTGCGATCGACCGAGAGCCACGGGACCGTCGGGCCGGTCCCGAGCCCACGCACGGTGCGCCAACGGGAGCTGGGGGGGGAGGTGCTTCGGCCCAGGGGAGGTGGCGGAAGCCTTGGGAGGTGGAAGGCCCAGCAAAAGGTGGAAGGCCCAGGCTGGAGCTGGAAGCCTTGGGAGTAGGACCTAGGACCTGTCTAGGGCGAAGCTCACGGCCTGGGCTGCTGCCTGAGAAGATGACGATGAGGGCGACCTGCCGGTGGAGGACCATGCGACGGCGGAACCGAGGTTCGGTGGCAGACGACAACGGCGCAGATCGAAAAGACAACAACGGTGCTTGCTGCGAGGGAATGGCACCTGGCAACAAGAACAATTGGTGAAGGTACCTAGCGGCATTTTGGTGGTGGCCACAATCTCTTTGTGGCCAAAACCAAAGAACAGCAGGATTGCCCACAACAACCTCGGGCACTGTCAAGCAGACCATGTCTTCTGTCTGCAGGTGGATCATGCTGCAGAGGAATGTTGCTCGGATATCTACTGGACTTTACTGTATCATACTGTATATTCAAAGGAGCCAAAAGTACAAACCAAAGTTGTTGGTCAAGCGACAAGACGCGTGACTAAGCGCCGGTTCCCGGGATCTCCACGTACACTAGCGCTGAGTGTGAAACTCCCACGTACATCACTGACCAGATCAAGTACAGTACAGGCCAGCAAGGCTCAAGGTATGCATCCGGATCTCTATGGAAAGCTGAGGTTTCTCAAGGCCAAGAGCTTCTCTAGGCCAAGAGTTGGACGGCATGTCACCCGGCACCCTGGTTTCCGTCTTCGAGTCTGTCAGGGCTTCGCGCGATCAGCTCACCAGGGCTTCCAACAACGGGACCACCCCGTGGACGATGTTCCGTCTGTTTGAAGTCGGGAACATCCCACGCCTCTGCAACGACACAGGACCAAAGAAGGATGTTGAAAATCCCCAGGAAGGTCTGCCTCACAAGGACGGGACCGGAATCGACACTTCCAGGTGAAACATCGGCCAACGGCCCTCCCATGGCCACATGACACGTGCTCTGTAATCATGGACGTCCTGTGGTGCGACATGTTCTGTAAAAACAGTTCCGATGGGCCTGGTATTCAAGTCTAGGAGTCGAGCAAGGCTGTTAACCCTCATGTAGCATCCAAAAAATGCCAAAAAAAGGCCCAGAAGCTGCACACTGCAGCACACTGCGTGCATGATGCGCCTCAGCAACTTAATCCAAATATTCTCACGCTTGGGCGGGGTGATCTCGTTCTTACCGTACCTGGCCGTGGCCGCCCTGGCTGGCCCTGGTGACATCGAGGATCGAGGCAGGGAAGAGCTGCGTGACAAGAGAGTAGAAAGGCTCTGAAAAAGAATCCGACAAGAATCGAATCAGCACCGTTTGATGGAAGAGTGTGTGTTCGTGCGCCCTTCCCTATCACTGTTTCAGGATCTGTTCAGCAGCACTTGTCTGTAGCTGTTGAGACCCAAGAGAATCAACTCTAGCTTCTTTCGAGAGCATGCCACCAAATTCCATCAACTTCTAAGCAACTACTGTAATAAAACAGAGATCCAAAGAACCACAAGCAGCCCAGGTTCTCAGGTTCCCACTGTTCTCAGCCCTAGTCTCTGCTCTGCTTGATCAAAGGGCTAGTTGATGCTATTTGGTCAGCTTCCGAAACCCCTTGCAACATGCGGTCCTGCGAGTCCTTCTATTTAGAGCCAGAATTGGGCGGTTGTCACGCCATGATGCTCCGAAAAAAGTTGATACCCCAATTGCTACTCCCACACCCTCACGAAGTTCTTGCCAGAGGCCAACTAAGGGGCTTTCAGCTTCCAGCAGCTTCCAGCTCTCCAGAACTTTGTCTCACTCCCGCCAAAAAAAGGGTGGAAAGTGGTCCCAGAAAACACGGGAACCCTCTCCTGATGAGTAAGAGGCCAACCCAGTGAACCTCAAAATAAAGCTCACGTGCTGTTACTCCCTTTAAAAAACTATGTTTAAAGTACAAAGATCAACCTAAGAAAAAATAAACACTACGCGCTGTTCGCACAAGCTGTACCTGTTTCCCGATGCTGATCCCGGACCGAAAAACAAAAAAAGCCCAAAGGCTTTTGAGCGCACACGTTGAAGTAGACCCGAGCTTGTTCCTCCTTCAAGCCGCAGAGCCCTGTCTTGCACCTTGGCAGGCTTGCCAACGCGACAGTGGTGGGACAACACGACGACCGTGGCAGTCTCGTCAAAGGGGTTTCAAGAGCGAAACGGGGAAGTGCCAAGTGGACGGACTGGTCCCTAAACCAAACTTGGACTCCCTGGGGTTTGGCTCTTTCCTTTTGACTCAGTGGTGCAGGATTTCATGGATGAACCGTGCCTCTTTTAAAGATCCATCAGAATGTCAGGCCATGCTGGAAGAGGACGTTGCTCCTTCGATCAACAAGTGCATCTATTCTACAGTGTTACAGAGGGTTGCTCAGCAAGACCAGCCACAAGGGAATAAAATTCTATGAAAGCGGAAAAAATAAACGATGTTTAAACAAATCGTATAAACTCCTCCCCGCTGGTTGGCTGCCCTGCTACAGTGGAACACATGAAGCGAAACCAGAATCTTAGCTCATGCAAATCATACAGTTTTCAGTCTCCCAAAAACCGGAGTCTAGGATTCTCTTGGCCTCATTTTGGGCTTCAAATGGCCCACAGGTAAACTTCCAAAGCACCTGGAGTCGAGTCCAAAACAGGGTGAACTCCAAAACCCCTCTGGGCTGGGCGTTCGCATCCGTGGGCTGGGTAGTACAGACTCCGGGGCCCAACCGGACCCAAGACTACTCTGAAAAGTAAGAAAAAGATGAAAAAAGTTGAGACAATGCAGACCTGGAAACCCCAAATGCGGCCCGGGTTCCAACCACTTGGTGGTTTTTGGGTGATCTGAATTCCCCAATTATATAAATTGGAAGAAACCCAATTGTTTCTGGTTGGGTGTCCAGGAAGTTCCACTTTGTTTGCTTCTGGATTTAACCGAACTTCAAGACTTTGTGCCGCAAGGCAACTCAGATCAGTTTATTCCATCTGAGATTCTCGGCAGAACTAGTGCCCGAAGCCAAGCCCTTCAGGACATCCCAAGCGGATTCCCCAAAATGACCTGCTTGGCCATCGTGGAACCACGTGGTGCTACGTGGAATGCCCCGGTCGACCGGGCCCGGGCATTTCCTCGGCCGCCGCACGCGCCCTCGCCCATCTTCGTCTTGAAAATCGCCGAGAGCCTGCAGACAAAAACCGACGACCCCAGACCCACAACAGGATGCCCCGTTCTATTTTTTGGCCCGGGGGGGGGTAGTAGAGGTAGGTAGCTAGTAGAAGAGGTAGCTAGTAGCTTAAGTAGCTACTACTTAGGATGCAGGATAGCTCGTGCTTCTTCAAGCCGCCCTAAAGGCGGCGGGGGAAGCTTCCTTGAAGAAGCGCTCGCACTAATGATTCGGTTCCTGGATTTTTCGGGAAACTTAAGGTTGGAGGCCATTCCGTTGCCGTGCGCGGCCGGCGAAAAGACCAGGTATTGGGGTTGTTCGAGCAGAACACGAGGAGCTTCAGGAGGCGCTGCATGAGTCCAACCGTATCTTCTGCATCCACATGTTGGTATCTAATTCAGGAGCTGCAAAGCAGGGCAGTCGAAAGTGGAACTGTCTCACACAAAGGCCCATTCTCTCACACACAGGCCAATCCTGTTGCTTAGTATGTGGCGCTTGTCTTTAAAGAGGGTGCCGAGTGCTGCGCTTCTCAGTGGTCCAACTGGACGGAGTCTAAGATCTTGGCGCTTTTTGACATCTGAGATGATGAGATGGGCAACCCTTCCTACATTCGAGTTCAGGTGATTCTTTTCGAGTTCAGGTGATGGCAGTCTATGTCTTGGTCTGTGGATCAACTCCGACCAGGACCCAGCCAGATTCAAGCTGCACCGAAAGAGAACCACTCCCAGACTCCGTCGTCCCCTTTCTCAGCCGAGAAGAGACAGCAGTTCCTTTTCGAAGACCAAGTTGGACCAAACCCCCGTCCCAGCGGGCCTTGCATAGTCCCAACACCCATGTTCTGCCCCCCCCAAGCACGCTGGTCCCGATGCTTCCCGCCTCTCTTGCGTGAGGGTGTGAACCAAGGTCTTGTAGTCCTGGGAGGCGCCGAAGAGCTTGCGCCGCGTGGACATGGAGCGCCGCGGGTGACCGGGAGGGTTTATCCATGCAGCGGTTCTAAAAATGCGAGGGGGTTGCAAAACGTTGGTATATCATGTAGACTCTTGATTAATAAGCCCAAAAAAATGAAGAGGTGTTTCAATTCAAAAGGGGTGGGTTTGTTCATCAAGAGTTTTCATTAGATTCGATATTTCTCGAAGCTATCCGGTCATACTGTACATGTTTTCTCCAGCAGCGATCGGGTGCAAATCCACTGAAACACCGCTTGAACGTTTTATCAAAACGCAGGATGCGCAACTCTGCACTGGATAAAACCGCGAAGGGATTTGCTGATTTGGTTGGAGGCCATTGCTATTAGGTTGGAGGCCATTGCTATTAGGTTGGAGGCC